TTGGTCCTTCGAGCCGGATTATTTTAGATTCCCAGTCCGTTGGTAAAATACTGCAAGTGTAGTTTTGTAAATCAATCGTTGTAATCAATAATTTTTTATCGTTCTAGTAAGTTGTCCGCCATTTTTTAGTTCAGTTCAGGTTTCAGGTGATTCATTGTTGCTAGGAAACGCCACTGCCTTTTCGACCTTCGTTGCCGTGTGTTTCTGTTTATTGCCGGTAGAGTGGGTAGAGTTTTCAGCGCAGTTTTCAGTTTTCAATATTCGCCGCGCTGCAATCATCCGTCATTGCAGACGATCACCTTGTGTTTACATATTTTGCCAACCTCGCATAATCTATAACTACTGTTGTTTTTAATTGTTATCATAGCTGTTAATAAGATGTTTTAGCTTTTAGTATGTCAGATACTAGTTAAAATATTAGAAACAAGTAAAAATAAATAAATAAATCAATAAAAATAAGGAGATAAGATATTATTATTGTTTTAGTTTTAATTTCAACTTTTGATATTTTGACACACATTATTCTCTCTAATTGTTTTGACTAATCGGTCATTAATTATTGTTATTTATTATCTCATTAGTAAAAAAAAATACTAAATTAATTAGGAGTTTTTAGCTTTGAGAAATAAATAGGCATTTCAATTTTAGATTTTTATTTTTCATACTAGACCTACATTTCGCAATTGATTTGTTTGCCTAGATTTGTGTCAACTGTATTTTGTTTCACATCTCTTTCAAGAAGTTATTGGTTTATATATGTTGTTATTGTTTAGTCAAGGCTAGCTATGTGTCCTCACAATTAACGTAATTTTTTAATGTGTTTCTGTTGAATTGTATAGTATGTAAACCTCTGCTCTTGTAAGTTACGTTTATTTAGAGAGCTCTCAAAAGGAAAATTCTGTTGTGTATTTTTATAGGCTAGTTCTCTCTTAATTTTCAAGATTAATTAACACCTTCTTTTAACCATTTTTGTATCTTTTCTTGTGTTTACATAAACTCAGTATCTCTTTTAGGCTATCTCATATCGGCTGGCAATACAACTAGTCTTTTTCTTTAAATAATTGTTTCTAATTAAATAATTGCTAATAATTCATTCACTATTCATTGCAAATATTTGTATCTTCTGTTAGTATAATTTTGTATCCTTTTGTACAATGGCTCCCAAAGAATTCAAATATGAGACCTACCGCAAGTCCACAGATTTAATTAAGGCTCGGTTTGCCAAACTAGAAGAGGCGGTGACTAAACTTACCAGCACACCCCCTCTTACACCAGTACAAATTAGGCAACTAAATACCATATTTGCCGAACTAAAGAAAAAACGAGCCGATTTTGAGCTAAACTTGCAACGGCTAATTGAGACAGAAACTGACGAGGCCGCAGAAGCTAATCTATCATCTGACGTAGATGATATTAACGATTTCTATGTACGGATATCTAGCATAATTGAAGTCAACATCACTGTGGAACCTACAACTCCACAATCGTCCCATTCAGATATGTCCGCAAATTTCCCAACAGCAGTTGTGTCGGGAGTAAAATTGCCGAAATTGAATTTGCAGACATTTGATGGCACTCCATTAAAATGGATTTCTTTCATAAATTTGTATGATACTACAGTACATAAAAGCACGTCACTTTCAAATGTAGCCAAATTTCAATATTTGCTCAGTATCTTGACCGGTGAACCATTGAATTTGGTCAAATCACTCAACCTGACAGCGGCAAACTATTTGATCGCCTACCAGCTCCTACGTGATAGATATCACAATATAAGACGTCTGACAACTTTACACCTTAACCACTTATTAGACTTACCTTCCGTCTCACGAAGCAACCCTAAGCAATTACGATCATTCATCACCACTTTCTATGAACACTCTGAGTCCCTAAAGGCTTTAGACTGTGAGGTAACTTAAAATAATTCGTTACTTGCCGCACACTTGTTACGAAAGCTCGATACTAGAATGGTTCAACAACTAGAACAGTATCGAACCACTAAAGCTGATGATGACACTGAAACACACTCCCTCCCAAAAGTAATGGAGATAATTAATTTCCTAAACCTGGAATGTTCCCATATTGAGGATGCAAGCTTGCGTTCAAGCTCAGAATCAAAATCGCATTCTAACAATCCGAGACCCAAAATGGAAAAACGGGCTCAATTTTCCTCTGGCAATGTGGCTATGGTGTCGACTGATGTCAAGACTTCCACTTCAAAACCAGCTCGGTGCTTTTGTTGCCGCAAATCAGGTCATAAAATCTACCAATGCCAGGTGTTCAAAGATAAATCTCCTAGTGATCGCTACAAAATCGTTAAGGAAAATAATAAATGTATTTCCTGTCTCGGAACTCATGCACTTAATGATTGTCAATCCAGAGCTTCCTGTATAACTTGTGGCAACAAGCATCATTCACTTCTACACTTTAATAATGCTCAAGGTCACTCGCAGCGCACCACTGCTACAGTTCCCGTGCCAAAGTCTGCACAGAGCACTTCGACTTCGATGACTTGTTCTGTTCAGCAAACTAATGTTCCCCACAACAGTACTGTCCTTCTCAGCACGGCGTTAGTAAAACTCACCACTGCTAATGGCCATTCCTTTGAATTCCGAGCATTACTAGATTCTGGTAGTATGTCCGACTTTATTTCTGAGAGAGCTGCTCAACTCTTGGGTACTCGACGCCACCCTTCTAATCTCTCTGTCACGGGGCTAGCTCAGTCTCTCACCCAAACCAAAGGCTCACTTAGTGTTAATGTTGAGTCACTCTCTGGTCACTTAGTTGTCCAAAAACACTGTTTCCATATTTTGGAAAAAATCTCTATCGATTTACCCAGAGTGGAACTCACCCCGGAAGTACTACAGAAGGTGAAACCTTTCGTTCTCGCAGACCCAACATTCCATAAACCGGGTCCCATTGACGTCCTTATAGGATGTGCATTATTTCCTCAAGTGCTAACAAATGAATGTCATTCCTTAGGCGATCACATGCCTTATGCTCTTGGTACCATTTTTGGTTACGTCATCGCTGGAACAGCTCCGTGTTCTTCTTCTTCTCCGAGAGCCTCTCATCTCTCTATCTCTCTCCTCTCCACTGCGGATATTGACCTCCACTCTTCAATGCAACGTTTTTGGACTCAAGAGGAACTGCCTTCCTGTTCCAAAAAATCTGCTGAAGAAATTGCGTGCGATACTTTTTTTTAATACCACACATTCTCGTGACTCTTCCGGGCGTTACACTGTACGACTGCCATTTTCAAGTGAACTCGCTCCTTCCACCCTCGGCACTTCTAAGCCTATCGCTGAACAACGCTTCCAACCTCTAGAAAGGAAATTGCAACACTCAAACAATGTGGAATTTCGCAACCTTTATTCAGGCTTCATGTCGGAATATTATTCTCTAGGACATATGGAAATGTGCCCAAACCTCGTTCTATCTGAGCCACACTATTTCCTCCCGCCTAATGGGGTATTGAAATCTCAAAGCAGCACTACTAAACTCCGCGTCGTTTTTGATGCGAGTTCAAAGACCAGTTCTGGTCTGTCATTGAATGACATTCTTCTCATGGGTCCGAAATTACAGAACAATATCTGTGATATTCTATTACATTTTCGGTTGAATAAATTTGTCTTTTCTTGTGACATCCGCCAGATGTATCGGCAAATAAAAGTCCATAAAGACGATCAAGGGTATCAGCTTATTCTTTGGCGTGAAACCCCCTCACTTCCGCTGTCAACATACCAGTTGACCACTGTGACGTATGGCATGAATTGTTCACCATACCTTGCCATAAAGACCCTGAAGCAATTGGCAATCGATGAAGGATCTAACTTCCCGGAAGCAGCTCAAATCCTTCAACATCACAGCTATGTGGACGACCTAATCGCTGGAGCATCAACTGAAGCAGAAGCTTTGAAACTGCAAGATCAATTAATTGAACTCCTCCGCTTAGGCGGTTTTGAATTAGGAAAGTGGGTGTCTAACTGTCCTCGACTGCTACAACAATTGCCTGTTTCTCATCAAGAATCTCCTGTGTTTCTTCAAGCCTCTTCAGACCCTATGTTCTCCATTTTAGGACTCTATTGGTCTCCTGTGACAGATTGTTTTAAATACAATCTCAATTTCTCTTGTGAATCCCCGACAAAGCGCAAAGTGCTAAGCTTAATCGCCAGGATTACGACCCATGTGGTTTTCTGTCCCCTTGTGTCATGATTGCCAAGCGCTTCATGCAAGTACTATGGACTTCCGGTATTTCTTGGGATGAACCCCTATCTTCGGAACTCGCCCTAAAGTGGCATAATTTCGTAGCCGATCTACAGAACATTGATAAGTTGTCGATCCACCGACCAATTATATTCTCTTCAAGCGGTGTCTATGAGCTTCACGGTTTTTCGGACGCTTCTGATGCTGGTTATGCTGCTGTGGTATATTTGCGAGCCGTTAACGCTGATCAGAATGTGCATGTCACTCAGATAATATCGAAAACTCGTGCTGCACCTTTGAAGAAAGTGACTTTGCCACGGCTAGAGTTGAGCGCGGCGCATCTGCTATCTCATTTAGCCCAATATGTACGTTCCCAATATTCTAGTGTCATAACCATTGACTCCATAACCTTGTGGTGTGACTCTACTGTAACCCTTTCATGGATACAAACTCTCCCGTATCGTCTGAAGACATATGTGGCGAACCGGGTGGCTCAAATTCAAGAGCTCATTCCCTCCCATTGTTGGAGACACGTTTCTAGTACCGACAACCCTGCGGACTGCGCCTCTCGAGGAATCCTCCCTTCAGAGCTTGTCCATCACCCACTCTGGTGGCATGGTCCCCCTTGGCTACAACTTTCACCCACGACCTGGCCAACTTCGAACTTCACACCCATCGATGAACACTCTCTAGACGAAGTAAAATTGACTCCACTCACCGTGCTTGTCACTGCTTCTCATTCACCTTGGGATCTTCTTACCCGCTTTTCGTCTTAGAAAAAACTCCTTCATGTCATGGCCTACATCCTCCGATTCATTTCTCACAGCCGCCGGCAGGAACATCAAGCTGGGCCTCTCTCCGACACGGAAGTGAAAGCAGCTCAGCTGCGGATCTTTAAGCTGGTGCAACAAGAGATATTTCTTGATGATATCACTGCCCTTAAGGACAACAAGATCTGCTCTACTAAACTACAGCGACTCACCCCGTTTGTTGATGCAAACGGACTAATTCGGGTTGGTGGCAGGTTGAGATATTCCGAATTAGCTGAGGAAGTGCGCCACCCTCTAGTCTTACCCAAGAATCATCACGTAGTCAATTTATTTGTAGACTACACCCATCTACGACATATGCACTCGGGTGTTCAATTCACACTGTCACTATTAGCCCAGAGTGTCTGGATTTTATCGGCTCGTAGTGTGGTTCGCTCCCGCATTTTTCAATGCATGACGTGTTTCAAACAAAGACCAAAGCCTCTGTTCCCACTGATGGGGGATTTACCCAAAGCCAGAGTGACCCCTACTCGACCTTTCTTGTCAACGGGAGTTGATTATGGTGGCCCCTTCACCATAAAAATACACAATCTTCGTTCTATCCGACACATCAAAGCATATATCTGTCTCTTCGTTTGTCTGGTTACAAAGGCAGTCCACATTGAAGTGGCTACGGACTTGTCCACGGAAGCGTTTATCGCTGCACTTACTCGCTTTGTGTCACGTAGAGGCTTCTGTGCCGATATATACAGCGACTGTGGCACCAATTTCGTAGGAGCGAAAAATGCCATGCAACAGCTCATCTCAACTACTGACCAACGCCCTTTACAACAATTCTCCATTCAGCGGAAAATTAACTTCCATTTTAACCCCCCTACGGCACCTCATCATGGAGGTCTATGGGAAAGTGCCATAAAAGGAGCTAAATATCACCTTAGACGTGTATTAGGCAACTATGTTCCTACTCTAAGCCAATTCATGACGCTTACCTATCAAGTGGAATCAATGCTGAACTCCCGCCCACTTACGGCTCTATCCAGTGACCCAAATGACTTACAGGTGTTAACCCCAGGCCATTTTTTAATTGGAGCTCCACTCACTGCAACACCGGAACTCAATCTTGCCGAAACACCTGATAACCGACTGTCACATTGGCAGCTCATTCAAGCCTTCTCCCAACGTGTATGGAAGCGGTGGAGTCGAGAGTACCTCCACACTCTCCAGCAGAGACTTAAATGGGACAAACCAACTCGAAACCTGCAAGTGGGGGATCTGGTGTTGGTCCATCAAGATACACCCCCTATGTGCTGGCCTCTTGCCAGAATAACTAATGTTACCCCTGGAAGAGACAATATTGTTCGAGTCGTCGAACTCCAAACCCAACATGGGACCTTCACACGTCCGGCTGTTAAGGTCTTCTTGCTGCCGTTTCTGAATTAAATTGATTGGTTCACCATCAGAATGTACATAGTATAATATAGTTCTTAGTTGTTAAGTTTATTCTCATTTGATATCAATCTTGATTTTGTTGTACTTGATTTTGTTGAATCCTTACTGATTCAAAGCCGCCGGTATGTTTAGTTTTAATTCAACGATTTTCAATGTTTGCTGTTAGCATAAAAAATTCTCATTTTGCGTGGTTGGCAAATCTGTTTTCACCTGTTGACGAAGTAGCCGGCGTCGGTAGCTACTAAGCGGAAGAGTAAAAAAAAATATGGCGTTCGCGGTGTAACGTTTAGACGCGACGGTCGGTCCTGGTTCGGTAATTTTACTGATTTTTTGCCCTCTTTGTCTCAATATGATGTAGTATTCTTTTCCTAATTACCTCTACTCTTCCTTCGAGGCTATTTATCCCCTCTTTGAAGTGCTCTAGTGTTAAATTATTTCTCCTCTGGGATGCCGGCCGGCTGATCTTCGTTCTTCGTTCCATGGACATTCGACGCCAACTCACTATTCGACCTACAACCAAGGGTGAGCACTAGACATTAATAGCCTCTCCTTCATTAATTATTCATAAAAACCCTCCATTTGTATAAACCCTCTGTATCCTCCTTTCCAATAATTTAATTTGTTGATTCGTGTAATTCGTGTTTGTGTTATAGTCGTATTTTGTATTTAATTATCTTTCGGTCCTTCGAGTTTTTTATTGTATTAATTAATTAATAATTAATTTAATTTCCAAGCTCCGAATTGAACATTATGCAACATTATCATTGAACATTATCATACATGAGAGTGATATCAACTTAGAAGTCCAACTCTCTCAAGGGACTACAGATTTGATGTCAAACTTTTATATTGTTGGTCAACAGAGATATTGGATATCGTAAACCAAAGTTAACTGCCTAAGTGAAACATGAAATAACGTATAATACGTTTTATACGTATAATGATGATTATAAGTTATAAAATATAATCGTGGTTTATTTTAAATAATTGTAAAGGGATTAGGTCTTAACTAAGTCACTTACGATAGAGGAGATTTGGTAAAATCTTTAGTTTTCAATTGGAAACATTTTATTCTTAACATTTCGTTCTTTTTCTAGTTGATCTCAATGGGAGATATATAATAACCACACATATTAAAAGCGAGGTAACGATTTAGTAGGGAACAGCGGTTTGAATTTTATCGTTCGTAGCAGCCCTAGTCCATTCTGTAATGTTGGCTAAACACCCCGCGCATATGCGCACACATCCCATGAATAGTTACACATATAGTTTTCAGAACACGTTATCCATATCCATAAATCCTGTGAACTGTGATATCATATAGTAGGTAGAGTATGTGTGTGCTATTATTTATTAGTGGATTATTGATTCCCTTGTTTAATCCTTTTTGGGATATAACCCTATTTTATCCCAAATCAACAACCTTGTCACAAATCCCAGAGCCTAATTTCCCTTATAATTTCAGCAATATTGTCGTATAACCTTAAGTATCATTTTATTTTAATAGTTCTGTAATATAAAATCTTTGTTTTACAACCTTTATTGCCTTGAAGGTAGTAATTATAACCTTTTTGCAAACGGTAGAAAAACACTTAATAATTGTCTTAAGATATTGTCTTTTACGTTGAGATTTAATATTGCCATATTAATTCAACAGTAACATTACATCTTTGGTTCATAACATTTTTTTACCTGACATATTATTGTTTATATCCTTAAGATACGATCTTACCATAAACCTTTTTCCAATAAATCCTTCGTTTACAACCTATATTTCCTTGAGATATTAAATTGACATTATCTTCTTACTACCAGTATATCCACTTATCACAGAGATTTGCTACCTTTTCACTAAACCATAATACCAGTAAATCCTTGGTTAATACAACGTAATAGCCTTTATTTACTACTTCAACACCTTGATAGGATAAGCAAGAGCTACATTTCAACGTCATAGCTACCGGTAAACTACTTCCCAATCCTCGTCGATAACCCAGTTTTGTTTCTGGTATGCTGCCAAGTAATTCCTTGGCTAGTGACGATGGTGACAGTTTAGCATTGGGCCATGAAGGAGTTCTAAGAATTATTTTAATGCCACAATAACTGACCTTGGATTTTCCCTCGTCTAGTGAATGAACTCTCTAAATATTGAAATTAGGTGACAGTGGGATCAAAACTACTCTAATCCAATAACGACGTCACACAATTATGAAAGGTGTTTTTCATTGATAAACTTAAATGGTTTTAATAAAGCAAAAAATCAACTTGAATTGTGTCAGTTAAAACGGATATTAATTTAAAATATCGTGCTGTAGGTGTCTGTTTCGCAGTCGTGCTCAGTAAATGTCAAGCCATGCAATTAGTACAACAAGGCCTGAGCCTATCAGTGTCCGACTGTGTGGAGATCACACGACAGAGCTGACCTGTAATCTGATTGCCATGAAGCAGATCTCTGTTACTGGTATAAGTGTTTAATGTGGTGTTGTAGCTTAGAATACAAAAATGCCCTTATAAGGACGATGTTTAAAACTAGTCATTTTTTATAAAGATAATAATTCTTTCCTGTTTAATCAAGAAAAAGTTTGGTCCTTGAATCGGCTCATTAAAAACTTCTCACAATAAAGGTCCGTGAAGTTGGCGTACCCATATTAGCGTATCCACTTTTGATCATACCAATCGTTAGTTCATCGTTAGTTCTCGATAGTTCCCAAATTTTTTCGTTAGTTCTCAAAAAATAAAAAAGTTATAGCCGATTATAAGTGGGTACGCTAACTTCACACTTCCGGGTTCTAGCACGCGCCGTTTTCTGAGGAGAAATGTTTACATCTATATACCAATCGTTAGTTCTTCGTTAGTCCTCGATAGTTCCCAATTTTTTTGGTTAGTTCTCAAAAAATAAAAAAGTTATGAGGCATACAAAGTGGGTACGCTAACTTCACAATTGTACAATTTCCAGCGGGAACAGTTTTTTTACTATAAATGCCTATATCTATATACCAATCGTTAGTTCTTCGTTAGTTCTCGATAGTTCTCCAAAATTAACGTTAGTTCTCAAAAAATAAAAAAGTTACGAAGCATAAAAAGTGGGTACGCCAACTTCACAGTTATAGAATTTCCAGCGGGCACAGTTTTTTTACTATAAATGCCTATATCTATATACCAATCGTTAGTTCTTCGTTAGTTCTCGATAGTTCTCCAATATATACGTCAGTTCTCAAAAAATAAAAAAGTTAAGAGGCATACAAAGTGGGTACGCACACTTCACAATAATAGAATTTCCAGCGGGCACAGTTTTTTTAGTATAAATACCTATATCTATATACCAATCGTTAGTTCTTCGTTAGTTCTCGATAGTTCTCCAATATTTACGTTAGTTCTCAAAAAAAAAAAGTTAAGAGGCATACAAAGTGGGTACGCCAACTTCACAATTATAGAATTTCCAGCGGGCACAGTTTTTTTACTATAAATACCTATATCTATATACCAATCGTTAGTTCTTCGTTAGTTCTCGATAGTTCTCCAATATTAACGTTAGTTCTCAAAAAATAAAAAAGTTAAGAGGCATACAAAGTGGGTACGCTAACTTCACAATTGTACAATTTCCAGCGGGAACAGTTTTTTTACTATAAATGCCTATATCTATATACCAATCGTTAGTACTTCGTTAGTTCTCGATAGTTCTCCAAAATTAACGTTAGTTCTCAAAAAATAAAAAAGTTACGAAGCATAAAAAGTGGGTACGCCAACTTCACAGTTATAGAATTTCCAGCGGGCACAGTTTTTTTACTATAAATGCCTATATCTATATACCAATCGTTAGTTCTTCGTTAGTTCTCGATAGTTCTCCAATATTTACGTTAGTTCTCAAAAAATAAAAAAGTTAAGAGGCATACAAAGTGGGTACGCTAACTTCACAATTGTACAATTTCCAGCGGGAACAGTTTTTTTACTATAAATGCCTATATCTATATGCCAATCGTTAGTTCTTCGTTAGTTATATCTAAAACAAAATTTATGCCAATTTCATTACGCAAGATAACCGAATACAAACTTGATAACCTAACTATTCATGTCTGTGGAAATCATTTCAATAACTCTTGTTTTTGTAGCAAAATTGAAAAAGTTGATTCATACAAATATCTTGGTATTGTTTTTGATTCAAAGATGAAATGGTCGGAACATGTTGAATACCTAAAAAATAAATTACGTAAATATATTTATGCATTTAGGCAACTTAGTGATATTCTCGAAGAGCAAGAAATTGAAATAGCATACTATGCATATGTTCAATCATTGTTGTCTTTTGGAATTATTGCTTTTGGGGGTGCTTACAAAACTATCTTGCAACCTGTTTTTGTAGTGCAGAAAACAATACTTAAAGTTGCTTTTAAAAAACACTTTAGATATTCAACTGACGATCTTTTTGTAGAATCGGGAGTTTTGACAGTCAGGCAGTTATTTTTAAAATTTATTTTAGTTCACATGTACAAAAACTTTGATAATATTTTTGTAAAAATTACTCATCCCCACAATACGCGCTTTTCTCGAAATGTTGGTGTAAGTGTTCCACAAACTTTCAAATCATTTTCAAATACGAATTGCTTTCACTTAACCCAAATCATTTATCGTAACATGTGTAACAGATATCAAAATGTCAACATTCTAAATTCACCCTCTCTCTCTCTATTTAAGAAGCATGTCGTGGGGTGGCTTGTTGGTCTGAGTACAGAGGACACCGAGGCCGTTATCGCGTTGGGCGGACCTGACCGTTGACCCTACACAATCACTGATACACCACTTTCACTGACTGACTAATACACTACACCCCACCTCTCCTCATCAGTCTTCACCACATATTATAAATTACCTCTGTTTGCACAAAGAGTTTTTTTTTTTTTTTTTTTTTTACCGTCAATTTATTCCAGAACACTAAAAATTCAGCTTCAAGCAGGACAAATAAAAAAAGGTTTAAATTATACGATTTTTTTTTC